TGGTGGAGGTGGTGGTGGTGGAGGTGGAGGCAGTAGTGGTGGTAGTGGTGGTGGTAGCAAAATGCCGCTATGATGAGGATGATGGAAATGACCGTGGTGAGGATGATTCTGAAGAGCACTCTTCCCCAGAGGGCTTTCTCTACTATGTCCCTTTAAAGCGACCCCTGAAATACAAGACACAATCCAGACGCTGGAGTTTTAGGGGAGATGTCATCAAGTCCTGGAGGTGGGGCAGGATCTCAGAAATACCCCACTGTGGAGCCGGGACTGGGAGGGAACGGAAGGAAGGGCGGGAGAAACATGTTGGGAGCGAAGAGGAAGACTGCACGAGGGTTCCTGAGACCAGAGGAGTGATGTCCAGACTGTGGAAGAGGTAGAGCAGCCGGCTGTGGCTGGAAGAGGCAGGAGATGCGATGCTTGCAGCCTTGACACTGAAATCATGTGTAGAAATAACAGTCCAGGTGTGTTAGCTCCAAAATGGAAGGGGTGGGGTTGAGAGCATCCAGGGATTAAGGGTGTACAGAAGGCTGTCCGGGAAGATGCCGCTGTCCATAAATTTCAGCCTCTATCAGGACACTGCTTAGCAAGTTCATCTGAACGTACAGTTTGGAAAATTCTGTCTGACGTGGTCTTCCCTCTCCAGAGGAATCCACACGTCTGTCCATTTCCAAAGCTCCATTTCAAAGAGGAGTTACGATCGGCCGCTAATGGCAGAGATTGAGTTCAACAGAGTGGTCAGTCGGCTCTGCAGAAGTCTCTCGTGTGGAAACCTGAGGATAGAGGACCCCGGGCCAGTGTGATGACACCCCGATGTCACCCAGCCCTTGGATTCCTCCCGCCCCTCTCCTCTGCCCTCCGGGAGGCTGCACCTGGTACAAAATGGGTCCTGCCACAGCAGTCACACATCCACAAGACAGGAAGGCAGAAGGAGATCTGCCAGTTCAGTGCACCTCATTTAAAGAGCCTCCCCAGAGAGCACCCCCATGTGGCATCTGTGTGCATCTCCTTGGCCCTGCTGAGAAAGGCAGGGACTGTTTGCAGTTGGCTGTGGCAACTACATCCGGAGCCCTGGTGGCCTACTGGAGTCCACATCAGGCTGCTAACTGCAAAGTCAGCTGTCCAAAACCACTGAGAAATGGGGTCCAAAAACCCAGAGGGGCAGTTCTGCTCTGGAGCAACCTGCAGGGTTGCTATGAGTCAGCATGGTCTCTGGCAGTGAGGGTTACGTTTCTATTATAACCACCACGGCCACCAATGGGGAGGTTGTTAAGGAGGAGGAAGGAGATACCACAAACACTACTAAAGAAAACATTTTTCTTTTTTAATCTTAGTGCAAAGTCAGCACCTTTGCTAGCTCCAGTCTTGTTTATCAGAAGCCCTGGTGACACAGTGGTTAAAGCGCTCAGGCATCAACCCAAAGGTGGGCTGTTCAAGCCCCCCAGTCACTCCATGGGAGAAAGATGAGGCGGTCTGTTTCCACAAACGCTGACAGCCTGCGTGGGGGCGGTTCTGCTCTGCCCTGCCCAGTCGGGGTTCCCGGAGTTGGAATGGACGCAAGGGCAGTGGGCTGGATCTTTCTGGGTGTTAGTTGACCCTGACTGTATGTCTGTTGAGTAGCAAGGCCCTCCCTGCTGCAGTCAGGGCCGGAAAATTCTTGTAACCGTAGACGCGTGAGGCGATCAACGCCAAGGTCGGACTTAACATTGCTACCGATTTGCGGAATCAATTTCAGTCATTGACTTTCATGCCCATTTAGGTCAAACACACTATTCTCCCCGTGGAGAGCATGTCGGCTCTGTGTTTCCATAATAGTGTTTATACATGGATCCAACTCAATGTCAGCCCCGAGTCTCTTAAGGAAGCTAGTTTTAAATGGCCTTTCAAAGTCTACTCTAGAGCAAAGTGGGCATTACCGCCCCTTGGGGGGCAGTGTTGGAACTATGGAAGAGAGGAGGCTGCAGAAACACTTGAGTTTTCATTGCCAGAGGGAGTGCTGAGTCATTTTTCTCTGAAAAGGGTGTGGTAGACCAAATAAATTTGGGAGCTTATGATCTAGAGAGCTTGCCCGAGCCCAGAGTCGCCACCCTAATTGGCCGCTCAGATCCACGGATGGCAAAGCAGCTTATCCCTGCCTCGCTCTTCAGTAGCTGGTTTTTGTTTGTTTTTCAAGTGACTTCTGATGGGTGCCCAGAACGGTTAATGCATGGCCTAGACTAATGGAATTATTCATGTTTTCACACAAATTCCATGATTCCTGGGGACTCGTGAGCCTCCCGGCAACCTCTCTTCCTTCGTCTTTAAAAGAGCATGCTTGCTAGTGATTTTGAAGGTCAACGTCAGGCTTTGGAGGTTTTCTTCAATGATCCTATCTAATTTTCATATTGGACCTTGCAATGAGGATGGATAATTGAGACTTAACAGCTTATGGTTTGGGCTTTGGACTTGGGCGGGGCGTGGGGTGCATTTTGTTGTTCTTCTGTCCCGGGTGGAGGGAGCTTTTATGATGTGTTCTCTGTAAAGTACTTGAGTTATAAGATGACAATGCCTGTAAGAAACATGGTGGACTATTTAAAGATCGCATCCTCTAGCTGGAAAATTGCTGCTGCTGTTGTTTCTTCTTGTTGTGCACCACCAGGTCAATGCCAACTCATAGAGACCTTATGTGACCAAGGGGAACTTCCCCCAGGCGTGCCCGGGTGGTGCCTGGTGGGAAAGCTGAAAGATTAGCAATGGGCACGTGGAAGACCGTTGACTTGATCAAGACGTTGCCAACAATAGGTTATCAAATGGATGTAGGGTTTGAATCTCCAATTCCTGATGTACATACTGAGTCCCCCAGAACACAGAATGCCCCCAAGTCTTATTTTTCTTTGGGAAATCAGCATTTTTTCTTTTTACTAGAAGTACTTTCATTGACTAGCTGCCAACTATGATGCCTAGTCACACTTTATCTCTTCCATGTTTGTCTGCAAGCTCTTCTATTTCTTCCTCACGTGAGGATTTTACAACATCATGTTACATAGGAAGAGAACAGGAAATCGAATCTTCTCTCTGGCGGTGCTGATAGAAATTGTCCTCCCTACTCTTATTATTCCTCTAGTGCCGTAGTAGGTACACCAAGGGCCATGAACTGCAGGGTCAACAGTTTGAAACCACCAGCCTCTCTGTGGGGGAAAAACAGGGCTTTCTACTCTCTAAAGCGTCACATCTCAGAAACTCACATGGGCAGTCCTACCTGTCCTACAGGGTCGCCATGAGTGACCATTGAATCGGTGGCAGTGAGTTCATTTGGTTTGCTCATTTAGAAGGTGTTTTTGCTTTTTTTTTTTTCACCTTTGTATACATAACATTGCATCCTGGGAAAT